GGTGTGGGGAGATCTGTTTTCCAAAGCTTTTGAAGTGTGCAGCATGAAGCTTTTGGCTTTTGACAGCAGCAAGCCAGCTGCGAAGCTGGAAAATGCTGCTCTACTGGATGCGTGACAAGCCAAGGGGTGTCTGACTTGAATCGCTTGTACAGGGTGGAGGCGAGGGCTTGTCTGAGAGGCAGGCGTCCTCTCTAGGCAGCTCTTTCTAACGCTATGCCATGTGGTGCTTAAAATGCTCCTTTCTGTAGCAGCAGTGTGCGTAGGTGATAAACTGAAGGTGTGGCGGTTCAAGGTGGATTATAAGCGCAAACCCTCCCACACAGCCTTGCTTGACATGCAAAGCAATTGCACTCTTAAAAATGCTGTCTCTGTTAAAATTTGTATCCTGCCTTGCACCTGTTTGGCTGAATAACACCCAAGAGGAATTGATTATGTGCCCATCCTTTGATCTGTTACCAGATGACACCACGGCTGCACACTCTCAAAGACTGCAAGTGAAGTTTAATCTTCTCTCTTCAACACGTCCAGAGAATGAAGGCTGCTATCTCTCTGTAGACCAAGAAAAATGCCTGGAGGACTGCAAATTCAATGCGACAGCTAAAACCTTCTTTATTATTCACGGATGGACAGTAAGTATGGAGACATCTATGTAGCTTGAGGCAATATTTTCTTTATTCTGCTCAATTGTATGCACTGCTTGAGTTTCCATCGTTGTCTAAAGCACACGGGACACTGAAATCATCGTGTTCTGAGCTCTGCAGTCTCCTAGTGTCGATGCTTGAAGGCATCGTTAGAAATAGTAACATGGTGCTGCTAAGACTTAAATTCTGGAAAATCCTGTTGTCTGGCCAGTCTTTCAGCATCGCTTTATATTTGTACTATATGAACCTGACCAAAGTAACTCTACTTTCTAAATGAAGCTATGGAAATGCGATCAGGTGTGCAGTTTAAGACACCACTTGGGTGCTGGAGACATTATTTTAAAGATCCTGTAATTTAAACTCTGCAGCAGCTCCTATTTATTGTTTCTTGTTGCAACTGGTAAAGAAATGCAGAAAGCATGCTGAAATTGGTTGGCTGACTTTACCAAGTCTTCCTCTCCTATTTCTTGAGTAACTAGTTGCAGCACTGCTAGACTGATCTAGTCTTCCTGCAATTCCCACTCAACAAAAAACCTATCACCTTTCACTCTAGAAAGCAATATTCTTCTACAGCCTGTCTGGAAACTTGCATTTCTTACATCAAGGGCAACATGCAGAAAGAAATTGGCACCTACTGGTGTTCTTACATGCAATAAGTTGTGTACGTGTACTTTAAAGTTGAAGGTGAACCTTGTAGATTGTGTCTATCTGGCTTTCTGTGACCAGGAAGCACTAACATTTTTAATTCTGTTGATAGATGAGTGGCATATTTGATAAGTGGCTGAACAACCTAGTGTTTGCCCTCCAGAACAGAGAAAAGGATGCTAATGTGGTAGTGGTAGACTGGCTGGTACTTGCCCATCAACTCTATACAGATGCTGTGAACAACACAGAGGTGGTTGGACAAAGAACTGCAAAGTTGCTCAACTGGTTACAGGTAAAACTACCACAGGGCACCACAAATGACAGCTGCACAAGGGTACAGAGTATAGCAGTTCTAACAGTCGGGACCATGGAAGGCATCAGTGTAATTCTAGACGTGGCACATTCAGTCCTGGTGCATGAAGGTGCATCTCTGTGTACCGAAGACATGCCTTATCACAGGGCTGGGCAATTATTTGGACTGGAGGGCCACTTAAGAAGTTTTTTGGTGAGCTGTTAAGAGCCAGGGGGATGGGACGCTGACCTGGCCTCGGCCCCCCATCACAACTGTTCACACTTCCCGGGGGGAAAGAGGGTGGCCAGGAAGATGCCAGCTGATCCTATCCAGCTTTGTATTCACTACCAGGGGTGCCAGATAGACTGGGCAGGGCACATTCAGCTAGACAGATGAAATGGGGCCACAGGTAGGTGGAGGGCAGTGTCCAGGAATGGGAGCAGTGGTGCCAGAGCTGGAGTTGGGATTGCAGGGTGGTGATGCCATGGGGCTAGGACCAGGCTCAGAGGCAGAGGCAAAGTCACGATCTGGTCCCTGCACGTCATTGCAATGGGCACCGGTTCTGCAGGGAACCAGCACTTGTCTCAGAGATGTGCCAGCAGCTGATCGCAGCCCTGCCCCTGGCCCCAACCCCGTGCTGTCATCACCCTGTGATCCTGTCTGCCTTTCCCACTCCTGGATACTACCCCCCCCATCTACCTGTGGCCCCATCCCATCCTCCTAGCTAAGTGTGCCCTGCCTGTGGGGGTCCTGGGCCAATCTCCATGGAGACCCAGCCCACCCACTCCATCTGGCACCCCGGCAGTGGGTGCAGGTCAGACAGGCTTAGGTGCCCAGACAGCAGGGCTGGGTATGGCAGTGGTGGTAAAGACCCTGGCAGTGGCAGCCAGAAGTGTTAGGGCAGAAAGAACTGCTGCCACGGGGGCTGAGCAGAACTAAAGCCTGATGTTGAAAACAAAGGGCGTTTATACATGTGCTCC